TCTCTCTCTCTCTCTCTCTCTCTCTCTCTCTCTCTCTCTCTCTCTCTCTCTCTCTCTCTCTCTCTCAATGCGGCCATTACATTTCAGGGGTGTATGGATCGACGCACGACATTGCTGACGCAGTTGTTGTTTGTATTCCACTTTGATATATATGGGGGGAAAAGGGTCATGGCTCCAAAACCAAAATACGAGGATCTGTGCAGGTCTTTGAATGGCGTGGGAAAGAAGGACAAGGGGAGGAAGAAATGCAAGGCTGATAAGAAAAAAGAAAGGAGAGAGCATCGCAGAAGCAGATCCAAGAATGCAAAAACAGAGCGGACCAGCAGCCGCAGAAACGGATCAAAAGTTTTTCTCCCATCAAGTCAGAGGGGGATTTAAAAGCTGAAAGAACGCAATGAGTCACCCCCTGCGACTCCTGCCCCACGGAACCGTGCCAGCGACGTCGAGAACCGTCCACCCAAGGCCCCCGTGAAGAGGTCGTGGGAAGACGGAATGTCAAAGGTGTAGATTTATGAAATTTCTTACATTGGTCGAGTTTTTTTTTGGCCAAATTTCATGGAAATGCACCTTTGGCTTGCTGTTTTATATGTTTTTAATTATTTTTTTCAGGGTTTTTTTCTGTGATGGGGTCGTCAGAAGTGCACTTTATAGATTAGTGTGAAGTGTTGTTAAATGATTGTCTGGTTTTCTTATAAATGGGCCTGAAAAATGGGTGTTCGGTTAACCTGCTCTCAAGGTGCACCACAGGACAAAGAAGAGAATCACGTACAAAAAGGACAGAATGGTGGAAATGATCAATCTAAGAGCCTCGGACGATGTACACAGCGCGGTCCGAGAGGAAGCAAAAGAGGAACACGACCAGTCCATATCAGAAAAGTCTGACGGGGAGGAGAACGAGTCAACAAGTGGCGAGGGAGGTGACAATCAAACTTCCGACGGACATTCTCGCGACACTCACGACGCTGATGACGAGGACGGCAGAAGCAGCGACGGCACAGCGCAGGACGAGGGCGGTGACGGGGCAGGCGAAGACGACAGAAGCGCGGACGGAAGAGGGAGTTCCCCATCTCCGGGAAGAACGCGACGCACGAGGGAAGCCGAAAGTGCCGGCGAGGGAGGCGCAGCCGACGCGCTCTCCATTAACAGATAACTAGTGAGGCACGACAACGCAGTTAAAAAAGGTAAACAAAATGTGCTGAAGTTGCTCCTCTTGCACAACGATTACGTGGTGACGGCGCAAAGTGATGACATTTCCTTATAGCGAGGATGTCGCTGTGATGAACTTACAGTTGAAACGGGCTGT